CGCACAAACACACGCACATCTCATTGGATCCTTCATACGTCCTTATTCCAAAGCGTCCTGCTATCCTTAAACCACAAGGAAGAATTAAGGTGACTCTCCTCGGCACATTGGGGATTTAAGGCATTAATACAAACATGATACTTGTGGAATAAAGCTCAGAAGGACTCCCACTAAGCTTTGATTAAACCCAGACAGGACAGGAAAAGAATGAGACATTATTCAATTTCAAAATACCCAAAGCGACCGCAGGATTAAAACATGAGGAGACAAGAGTGACGGTAGGAGCATCAAGTGTGGAGAAGCACCCGTCAACCCAACGTCAGGTTAGACAGCCTTGTTCTCACCTGCCCAAACAAACCAGAGCGTCACTTGACTTGTTCCAAGCATGTTTAATGTGACTAAATCCATTTAATGCTGTGTCAACGCAAAATCACCTTTGTAAATAAAGAAGAAAGACTGTCACTGGCAGTAAATGTGCATAAAGTTCCACAAAAATTAAAAACCAAGTGTGGGAAAAAAAAAGAAAAGAGTAAGAGCAGGAAGTAGACAAAGTGTGTGCAGAGCTGTCACTGTGCTTTTGACAATAATCCAACTAATCACACTGTTGGGGGGGGGGGTTTAGCTCATGCAGTTCTCTTCCGAGCAAAGTGGAGAGAGTCAAAAAGGTCACGCACTCGCACAAAATCACCACCGCTATTATTCATACAACTAAATATAACTGCATTTTAACATTACGTTGCCTGAGTAATTTTGCCAAACTTCATATGCACAAAAGAGAGATGGCTATGAAGTACTTTTTGAAGGGAAAATGTTTATTTTATTTAAGACCAAATTCTGATTATCTCAAGATAACTGAGCTTTTTGAGCCATGAATTCTAAAGGACCTTGAGGAATACACAATGGGTTTAAACAACTTAAATCTTCAATGATAACCTGTTTAATTGATTTCTTATTTCAAAGCCCGTTCCATGAAAACCCATTAGCGGGCCTTCATCATCTTATCCTCAGTCTGCGACTGGTGAGACTGATGAGTGTGCGAGCATGAATTATGCAGCGTATATAGGTGGGAAATCTGCTTCGTGAAATCGTCGTCTGATTACACTGAGGCTCAGCTAAGAGCCCATAGTGACTTTCACTATAAATCACTGAATGTGTATAAGCTACATAGATCCTGGTGAATGCATGATGCAATAACTGTGAGTGTTTCTCCTTTAAACTGGAAATGCTGGACCTCCAGGTTATAAACGCATCTCAGCTATTTCCTTAGTTTTGAGTCTTCAATGTGGTTGATGTCATTATAAAAATGAAAATAAGAAACCGGTATACTCTTTATAACTGAAATCTTGCTTTTTTCGTTTCTTATTCTCTTCCGTTTGTCTGCTCTTGGTACATTTTGTGTGTGTGTAACTGTAAAAAGGGCATTGCTGTAAAAGGTCATGTACTGTATGCTAATTCAACCTTTCCTGCAGACATGATGTTGAATAAATCTAGGACCTATAGCCACTGAAAGCATAGCATTCAGGCGATGCAAAGATTATGCTAATTAGTTCCACTGTAAACTTTTTAACAGCGAACTTTTAGTGTTATTCAGAGGAAACTAGAACAAGGATCTTTTTGTACATCTTAGTAGGATCTTAGTACAGTGATTGATTAGTCGATCGGCATTAAAGATAATCTGCAACTATTTGGATAATTAACTAGTCAGTTTAGTCATTTTTAAAGCAAAATAATACCAATAATTGGTAGGTAAATCAATAATGAAAATAACTGTTGGTCGCAGCTCTATTAGCAACACAAACTAAAAAAAACTGAGAAAATGTATATCTCGGAGAAAAACAGATAATGGACAGATAAAAACTAAGCCCTCTGCTATTCCCGTCCACTGGGGGTGGTGGGAAAATATGCTTTCTGTGATTTGGGTAAAATCTCTTTTTTAATTTGTTTCTAGAAAGACTATACGGTATTTAAAGAAGCATCTTTAACTCTGCATCATAACACCAATCCAAATGCTTCATCAGCCGCCAATTATCAACATCTTTTTCTTGTTAAATCACATTAAAAGCTGAGGCATCCGCTGTAATTTGCTACACACTAACCCCAACATTCATCCCTCTCATTCCTAATGTATTGCTGACACTCCCTCTATCATTATCCTATATATTCCCACCATTCCCTCCCGTTGCTTCTGCTCTTTCCCCTCTTCGCTGGTGTGTCCCTGACTCACCGGTTACCGAGCCTTAACGAGCCATTGAGAGATAATTGCTCCTCGAGGGTCAGTGCTAACTGACACCGCTGACTCCTGCATGTCATTCAGTCGAGCCCCTGTCAGCTTTATTGGAACTGCAGGCTGTATTCGCTGCCAGAGTTTCCAACCAGTCGAAGTTGAGTCCACTAAATACAATACAAAGTGCACATTCTGACATTTTCCTCTTGAAAACACACTTGAAATATGTATTCAAGAACTAAAAGAAGCTTGTTTTTCTTTCTTTGATATTGAGAACACAGCTGTGCAGCAGAAGCAAGCTTTGATATTTACACCACCAAAAGAAACAATCCCAGACCGAAGGATGCAGCCTTACTGGATTCAACTCAGTCTGTCCCACAGCTACACCATTTTTAAACTGATGCAGACTGTACAGCACGCACATCCTTGGTGCCAAGGGCAAATGTGTGTGTGTGTGTATCCTGAGATACAGAAAGGTCTGCACCGCTTATACATGATGTGATCCAAAGGGAAGGCTTGTACTCCAGGCACATGCTGTGTCCTCTTCCCTCCTGCCAGTGGCTGTGACCTCAACAGATGACAACGGACGGCCACGAGGGGCGATGGGGAAGTGCGGTGCGTGTCGGTTTTCTGTTGGCTAAAGAACTGAAGACCGGCTTCATGCATCTCCATAAATAGATCTTATAATGGTAGTGAGGTAGAGTGAAGATTTAGCTATTCAGCCTGTTTCTTTACTTGTGAAAAAGTGTGTCTCTTTACGAGTGTAACTTAATATATTAACAGATCATCGACATATGTGGCCGTTACGTAAAATGATCCCTTAGAGATGTATACAGGCTTGCAGGACCCTCACAAAAAGAGACAATGCTTGCATAATGTTTGGCACCTATACTGCACGGGAGTAAGCTGCGACACTGAAGGGAGAAAAGTTTAATCCCAGGCTTCATCAGCGTTGCATTTCAGAAGTTATTTTCCCGTTCAAGCCTTAAATAAAGACCGCTGCGTGCGTGACAGACGCACACAGCCTAATAAGACACAGTTACAGTCAGAATTTCCCACAGATTCACTATATATTTTCATTAGATGTGGTTATTTAACTAAGGTTAAGGTTAACTAAGGTCCTCTCATCCATAGACAGGACACAAATAATTCAGGTCTTTCCCCCCCCCCCCCCCCCCAACTTTGATCACACCTAATTTGCGTGGATGAGCCAAGCAGCTGCAACGTTGCCTCATTTGCATTCCGACAGGCAGCTTTGACGCATCGCCACATGCTGGCATACAGACGCTGTCCTCTCTCCAAATGTCCTGCTGAGTAGCTGCTGGACATCAGCAGTCACCCTGTACTGTTTTGTGAGTGCTATTCCTCCGGAGGCTCTTGAAACACATCTGGATTCTGCTCCGACAACATCAGTCGGTCTTCTCTGACGAAAACAACAATAAGAGAAGAAAAGCACAACGCAGAGGCTCCTCCTGATAATGTGACACCCACAATGTCTTTCAGGATCACGTGTTGATGGTTTGTTTGTCAGCTTCTGTCATTGTAAAGTTACCACGGTAATGATGAAGAATATTGGTGGTGTTGAGGGAAATAATAACAATTTCCATCCATCAATGTTTGCACAAAACCAAGATCATAAGTTTTAGTCCAACAGCCATCAGGCAGCCAACATCTGTATCATTATTATAGCACTAATCCAAAGAGAAAACTTTGAAATCCCAAGGACTTACTCCTGACACTCAATATTCAATAATTTATGTAGAACATAGAGAGTGAAGATACCAAGCAACATCTTCCTGGATGTGGAATGAATCAGCCACATTTAATTAAAGCTGGCACGGGCCGCCGATTATTCACGACGCACGAATCCACGATAAGGCAACAACAAAAAATGAAACAGCAACAGCATGCCAGCATTTATGGCAGCGAGAAGCTCACAGGCGATGCAGCTGCAGGGAGGGAGCAGTCAAGACAACACTTGACACATCGGGGAGACAGCAGAGCTGCAGGCTGCAGCAGCCCGTCACCAATGGTGTGAGGAGGTTTGTTGCTCTGACCCTTCACTCAGCACTCCTAACCTCCTGTACTTCACACTGTCGTGACTGGGGTGCAACCTTTCACACCAACACTTTCTGACTCATTTGGAAAATACCTTGTTTTATTACATGTAGAGAGGATTTCTTGGCAGACTTAACTGCCTCATTGTTTTGTGTGTTTGGGAGATAAAGACAGTAACAACCAAACTAATAAATGACTGTAGACTCACGTCCCAATTACATTCTTGAAATGTATTCAGTACCGAGTCTATAACTCAGTATTTATCTATTGATGTAGGATTAAGTACAAATTGCCAGATTATTTGTATTTATTGTATTCAATTGCAGTGCTGCAACAAAGGATCATTTTAATTATCAACTGATTTGTGATTTATATTCTCTATGAATTGTGGAAAAAAAGAGAGAAAAACGACTATTTTTGGAACAGGACAGTTGGCAGTGGGGCGAGCCAGAAGGAAGTAAAGCAATTACAACTGAGACTGAACTGCACAATAGTCGAACAGCGCGTAATTGAACAGCTTTCTGCACCTCAGTACATCTCAGTACAGCTACAATTGGCAACAAGACAAACAAAAGCTCTCCAGTAACGGACACACAACAGTCCATCACTACAGCCAGAGGCACACATTGTCCTTCTTCCTTTGCTATGTCGCCCAGATATCTTTACAACATTGTATCCGAATCCAAACATTGCACAACGCACACGTTGCCCGACTCACTTTCGTGCTTGGAAGTTCCCCATGTGTGCCGCGGAACTCCGGGGCTCTTGATAATCGCTCTGCCGGCGGATTTCAGTGCATCCATCCCGAGGTGTGTCTGATCTCCGGCGGCAGGTGGATTCCCCAGTGTCCCAGGGAGGTAGATACAGCAGGCTGGGCTCGACCGAGAGGATGCGCCAAAAGAGAGGAAACAGGCAAAGAGAGAGAGAGAGAGAGAGAGAGAGAGAGAGAGAGAGAGAGAGAGAGACGACTGATTTAAGTTCCCACCCTCTGAATCGCTCTCGGTTTCTTCCCCTCTCAGAGACTGGCAACCAGCTGAGGGCACATGCACCTACTGCACCGTCTCTAAAGTTAAGGGCGTGTCCCAGTCAGCTTGATGAGCTGTCAGTCCAAGGTGATCCAGTTTAAAGGAGCGTCCTTATTAATAAGGAGACATCAGCGCGGTATTGTTGCAGTGTGACGGACTCAAACTAATGAGTTTATGGCTAATGGCACTTTTTTTCCTCGAAGGACTGTCTGTGGTATTATTAAGAAACAATACGCTGGTATTGTTTTAATTCATGACAGAACTCAATATATAGGATTAATTCGTGATCCCATTATTCGCTTTTTTCAGGCTTAGTCACATATATGTTAATTGCTAAAAACAATGCTTAAATAACACAATATATTTTGGTACAAATGATAAACTAACAACTATAAAACTAGGCTTCTTTTTAGGGAAATGCTTGAATATGTCTTTGTATGTTGGCGCCCTCTTTTGATTACAACCAGTTATTACAGCCATCTTTAGCATGGTACTATTTGGGGATATCAGTAGCACTACTACTAGCTGTAGGTTATTGTTTTAACAAAATAAACTATAAATTGATTCTTGAAAAATCAGTTTTAAAAATAAATAATTATGGCCATCCTGGTAAGACAATGGTTCCAAAAACTGATGATCAGGACACCTACAAAGGGTCGCCAGATGAATCTGAGGAGTCTCAAGATGGTTCCCAGTAGAGGAAAGCAGGAAAAAAAAACTAAATTTCAGCCGCACAAAGTTATATTCATCTTTTTAGATTTTCCGAGAATCTTTGTTTTTTTTTCTTGAGAATTATTGGATAATTTTACTTCAGAAAAATATTAAAATAGCACAAAGTAAATCTAGAGTTACGGCCAGTCAAGTTGCAGTTTGCATATTCATGATGTTATCCGACTAGACATTTGTGTGAAATGTCAAGATTTGCCGGATGGACGGACAGACAAGCCGTAAACATGATGCCTCTGGCCAGGGCTGTCGGCACAGAGGTGTACAGATTGTTGAACCAGACTTGGAGTCGGTTAAACAGGTTCACAAGAAGATATTTTAGAGGTCACATGTCAAACAGATTATGAACCATTGAGTAAAATGATTAACATAATCTGCAACTTCCCCAGTTCAATTTCCTTTGTATGACCTTTGTATTACTCCAAAGTTCCCTGTCTGTACCTTTACTGTAAAACTCTACCGTTAAGGCAAAATGCGCCAAAAAACAATTGTGCCATATTAGGAAACGGGGAACTCTTCACTTGAACTTCCACGGAATAAAAATCAATTTGTGACACAAAATATGCATTGTGTTTTTGTCCTTCATGGTGAAATCTTTATTTCATTTCTCTCCACAACCCAGCACAGGTTATCATTTCATGTCCGAGTTAATCTCTCACAAGTATTTCACACGCAGGAAGCTAAGCAGAGCATGTATAGTCATGTATTTCTCATAAGTCATCTCGTGGGGGTTATTAGAGTTTAGCCTGAGGTGGCATGCTGCTGTTGTAATTTTTGGTGCTCTGTGATCATTTGAGAGGGTCTTTAGTTTATATTTAATGCTCTCAGCCGCGCACACTACTGCATTTACACAGACTGCTGTGCGTGTGGACGTCTGTCTGTGTGTGTGTCTGTGTGTGTGTGTGTGTGTGTCTAATCCTGGATACGCAGCGAGTAGTAGAATCATGCAGCTACTTTTAAATTTAAGACTCTTTAGAAAAAGACTGCAGTCTAAAATGAAATAACCTCTTAAAGGCTAAAAGCTGCACTAAAATGATGCAAAAGTGACATTGCCTCCTGTCTGCTTCCCTGGAAGACTGTGGATTTAATATCAATAGTTATAATTAATGGTATTTAAAAGCCATCCAGTCAATAGAATCGCTGCCATAATGTCACAGAGCACTTTTTTACTCCAATAGAGAGCAACAGTTACAGGCTTCAACAGTTTTCAGATGTCATTTTCAACTGGTTCACAAAAGAGTAACAGTGCAGCATGCTTCGGCAATTTAAAGTTGTCCAATTTAGGTGTGACCAATGCATCTTAAGATGCTGGAGGTATTCTCTAAGGTAGAAAATAAAAATCACCCCCTACTGTCCTGCAACGTGGCCCGGGAAAGCATGTGATATTTACTTGCTGACACAACAGTTGTATAGATTCTTAATCCCCCATAAAACAAATCATGCTTGTGGGTGTCACTTTATTTGTAAAGGGAGCGGGAAGTGAGGTCACTAAAAGAAGTGTAGAAGTACAGCCAGACGAAGAGAGAGTCTCATGAAATAGATTTATGACAGATGGGGTGTAAGGTAGTCTCTTTCAGAAAGGACAACATAGAAAAAAAAAAAAACATGCTCAGCCACTTCCGCTTTAGATGCAATGATGGATGCTATCCTGTCTGCTTTACAGTCTATTCCCCTCCAATGCTTATGTCATAGTCTCATGCTATTTGTCTCATACACACACATTTTCATTTGCTCTCTCTCAACCCGCGTCTTCCTTAGAGGCTGGAGCTAGAAGGCAACTGGTGGGAGGGCCTGTCTTTGAAGCAGGAGGTGGCCTTGGCCAACGATTTTCAGGTCAATCCAGTGACAGGTCAGCTCATGGATTTCTATATTTCTGTAAAATCTCCAACCAAGTACAAAGCCTGCATTGGAGGACTTCACACACCGTCTATTTCAAAGACTGGGAAAACTGTCCCTTCATCCCCTCCTGGTTTCTCTCTTCCCTCCTGCTCCTCTCCTCCTTCTCCCTCTCGTCTTCCTTCCAGTTCTGAGGCACACAGGTAGTCTCGGGACTGGGACTGCGAGTGTCCCAGGGACTCCACTGACAAGCTTCGGCTAGACAGGATGCTACTTAGGCTGGACTGGCGGGCGCCTCTGGAATGGGTCTCAATTTCCACACGGACCTCAATATTGGTTCCTTCCCTGTGGGGACAGTAGAAGGACAAATAAATAAATACGAAGCTGCCAGGCAATCAAAATGAAAAACGGAAGTCTATGCAAAGAATGCCTCGATTGTGAAAATCTGCTGAAGTCACATGATAGATCAACAGCAGGATTATATGCTTAAACATAGGTATCGTATTTAATAAAAGTTTCCAAAAAATAATTAAAGAACAAGACTAAGAGTCTACAGTCATGCCAGCAGCTCTGTAAGGCTGTACTTAAGTTGTGCTTTACGCTAAATGCAAACATGCTCAAAAATAACGCTAACATACGTTAACAGGTATAATGTTTACCTAGTTCACCATCTTAGTTTTAGGGTGTTAGAATGCTAACATCTGCTAAATAGCACTAAACACAAAGTAGAGTAGAAACAGAGAAGAGGAGAGACAGAGGCAACATTTACCTCAAAGGAAGCGCTTGTGTGTCATCGCGCTTGCTGTCAGGCACAATAACCACCTGGCAGTCTGATTGGCTGTCCTGCTGGGTGTATCCGTGGTGTTGTGTGGCTTCATCCAATTCCTCATAGCTGTCTAGCTCCGGGGGCGTGGTGCTTGTACTGGGGAGGACGCCCACTTCCTGTACACTGACTCTGACTTCCTGGACGCTGGTGTCGTTGGGTGTTGCTTTATTCTGACCTGTCCAGTGGTCACTGACTACATGAGAGAATAGAAGATCTATAAGAGAAGTTGAAACTTCATCAGATCTGGTCGCGCTTTGGAGCAAAAAATGACAATGCACTTAGTACTGTTGTCAAGAGTCCTTAACTCAGGTTGATTACAAAGTTATAATAGGAATAGCTCTATAATTTAGGATATACACTTATTAACTTTTGTGTTTTGTTTATTATATGAAGCTAGCCAGGAGATGATTCCCTTAGTTTAGCATCAAGACTGGAAACGGCTAATCTGGCTCTCGCCAAAGCCTTCGTGGTTAACGTAGAAAAATAAGAGCGGTAGCCATGTTCTCATCCAACTCTTGGGAAGAAAGCGAATGAGTGTGTTTCCCAAATTGTCAAACTATTCCTTTAAATTCTGTACTCACAGCTGGCTAAGTCCTCCAGTTGGATTTTGTGTGTTTCAGGGGGCTCACTCTGCGGTCGACACCAACCGTTCCGACAGAGCGACATGGGGACGACCCCATAGACATAAGTCAGCATTAGCGGCACACCCACGCCTGCAGGAAATCAGAAAAGCATAAGAAAACAAGTCAGAATACATTTCTCATCATGATTGGTCTTGAGTTTGTGCCAAAGAAAGAGTACCCTTGCAATTTAGTACTGCACTTCAATAAAGTAGGAGGGGAGGGACTTGCGAGAGAAAGTGGTCAAAACCAAAAGCAACAGAGGTAAGAAGAATGTCCAGGTTTTTAGTCCCTGGTATAGATCAGGCTCCAAAGATACTGGATTCTAGACTTCCCATAATGCAACAGGACACTATCTTTTGGTAGACCCTCCATGCCCAATAAATCCTCCACATTCAGTATGGCAGTTTGTCTGCTTTTACGTTTTAGTCTCTTAGCCGAAACCAAGATGTAACTTGACTAAATGACAGACTTGGCTTCCACAGAAGACACATCTCATATAATAGTACTCCCTGTGACTGATAAACACATTTATGTTAATGGATTTAACATTTTACGACATGTTAAATTGATGGACGGCCTCTTTAAGCAGTTTTATCATCATACTATTTCGGCAATACCCCAAATAAACACAAGAGGGATCCCCTCCTGCTTCTCTGTGCACAGCACACAATAACGTTTCTGGAACACACTGATCTATAAAGCTTTTCTTGGCATCATAGCCTCCATATCAATGCAACTTGTATTGTTTCAAATGCTGCGAGCTATTGCTTATGCTCCAGGAAGTTATATCTTCTCTCAGGAACCTATTTCCTTGCACGCTTATGAATCCATTCTCTTTTAATTGGATGCAAGCCGATCAAGCATTTTA